CATTTTATGACCAATTCATGCAAAACTCCACGTAATCCCAAGGGGTTCACATACTTTTTCTTGCAACTGTACTTCCACCATGCTAGGTTTTAATCTGAGCTTGTTTTACCCCATCTATTCCCTCCAAGTTCTGAGTACCAATTCTACACCTCCAAATAATCTCTTGCCTGGCCTAGCCAGTGATGTATAACTAATTGTGATCGGTATATTGATAATTAATACAATTAACATGTTAATTTTGCACATAATGTCCAAATGCACTTTTCAACCAAATATCTGCTTTGCAGTAGTGCTACTGACAATATTATGAATAATGCAAAATATTTATCAAGGGCAAACAACATGCAAGCTAGAGTTTTGCGTTGAACTCATAAGGTAAAGGTAAAGGCTCCCCTCGCACATATGTGCTAGTCCTTCCCAACTCTAGGGGGCGGTGCTCATCTCCGTTTCAAAGCCGAAGAGCCAGCGCTGACCGAAGACGTCTCCATGGTCATGTGGCTGGCATGACTAAATGCTGAAAGTGCACGGAATGCTGTTACCTTCCCACCAATGTGGTTCCTATTCTTCTACTTTCATTTTTACGTGCTTTCGAATTGCTAGGTTGGCAGAAGCTGGGACAAGTTACAGGAACTCACTCCGCTGTGTGGCGCTAGGGATTCGAACCCACCGAACTGCCGAACCTTTCTGATCAAAAAGCTCAGCATCTTAGCCACCTTTTGAACTCATATAATGTCTTATATATTCCTTCTGTTGATAGTAGCATTATGCAGCTATAGCTCTGTTTATAAACTACAACAAATGGTCCACTGAATTATGCCATGTTGTAAAGCAAAAACCCTCAAAAACTCCTTGAACAGTACACATTGAAGAAAAAGTACAAAATACAATGGAAAAATTCAGTTCAAGCACATGTCAAAGGAAAGATCCTATTCAGTTTTTTTAATGAATGATTTCTGACAACTTAATACAGTGTATACTTTCTCAATAAGATGTCCTTCAGATATGTGGAAGCATATTCTTTGAAACTGCTGGCATACTAGCTAAAAATTCTGCAAATCAGAATCCCAAACAGTTGTCAAAGCACTGGGGGAAAACAGATTCAGCGTATACAGCAAAGTTATTTTCTCTTTTTTACAGCAAACATCAAAAACCTTAACGTCCTGAGTAGAAGATATCATTCTGTACTTGAAATACAGAACTCCTTTATTTCTTCTAAGAGCTGTTATTGCACGACTGCTGACAAATAATTACTTTTGTAAGCTATTTATATTATTCATATCATATAGGAAGGCAAATTTCATTGAATTAAGCTGTCATATGCCATAGAATAAAGAAAAATCCATTATCACCCTTCTTGAAATTACAATATTTAAACAATACAATACAACAGCAGAGTTGGAAGGAGGTCTTCTACTCCAACTCCCTGCCTAGGCAGGAAACCCTATACCGTTTCAGACAGATGGCTATCCAATATCTTCTTAAAGACTTCCAGTGTTGGGGCATTCACAACTTCTGGAGGCAAGCTGTTCCACTGATTAATTGCTCTAACTGTCAGGAAATTTCTCCTCAGTTCTAAGTTGCTTCTCTCCTTGATTAGATTCCATCCATTGCTTCTTGTTCTACCCTCAGGTGCCTTGGAGAATAATTTGAATCCCTTTTCATTGTGGCAACCCCTGAGATATTGGAACACTGCTATCATGTCTCCCCTAGTCCTTCTTTTCATTAAACTAGACATACCCAGTTCCTGCAACCGTTCTTCATATGTTTTAGTTTCCAGTCCCTTAATCACCTTTGTTGCTCTTCTCTGCACTCTTTATAGAGTCTCCACATCTTTTCTATATTGTGGTGACCAAGATTGAATGCAGTATTCCAAGTGTGGCCTTACCAAGGCATTATAAACTGGTATTAACACTTCAGATGATCTTGATTCTATTCCTCTATTTATGCAGCCTAGAACTGTGTTGGCTTTTTTGGCAGCTGCTGCACACTGGTGGCTCATATTTAAATGGTTGTCCACTAGAACTCCAAGATCCCTTTCACAGTTACTATTGTTGAGCAAGGTACCACCTATACTGTACCTGTGCATTTCATTTTTCTTGCCTAAATGTAGAACCTTACTCTTTTCACCATTGATTTCATTTTATTAGATAGTGCCCAATGTTCAAGTTTGTCAAGATCCTTCTGTATCTTAAGCCTGTCTTCTGGAGTGTTGGCTATTCCTGCCAGCTTGGTGTCATCTGCAAATTTGATGAGTTCCCCATTTATTCCTTCATCCAAATCATTGATGAAGATGTTAAAGAGTACTGGGCCTAAAACAGAGCCCTGGGGTACTCCACTGCATGCCTCCCTCCATGTAGATGCAGTTCCATTGAAGACTACATGTTGAGTGCGGTTGGTCAGCCAGTTACGAATCCATCTGGTGGTGATGCTGTCTAACCCATATTCTTCTACTTTATCTAGCAGTATTTATCTTGAGACATTTTTATGTTTTATTTGTAGTATATTTACATCCTGCTTTCTTACATCATGCAGCTACATTCTAAGTAATTATTAAAAAGACCTAATCAATTCCAGTAATACATCAATGACTCATTAGTTTATAAATCATAAATTCAGATTACTAGCATATCTTCACACTGGCTACAAAGGAATATTTTAGCGCTCCTGTTAGTTGGTGGTCTAAATAGAAAGCTTGCAGATTAAATACAGAATGTACAATACAATAAACTGTTCCCACTAGAAAATAAAAAAGACTATTTTTTGCTGATTTGTGCCTCCCCCAGCTGCTCACCAAAGTGCTTCTTTCTATATGACTTCTACAGAGTAGTTTTTAATTGAGGACGTTGGGTCAAGGTGCTAAAAGGAACAACATGTGTTCTGTGCTTATCTACTCTACTTTGGTCAAGAGCTTTGCATAGCAATCTTATACCCTGAACCAAAACTATCCATGTCTGAAAGCATTAGTGTTTGTCTGCATGTGAAACATTATCCAATTGTTTTCTGCAGCTGTAACACAGTGTTTAAAACTCAGAGATTATTTTAAAAGTTCTAAAACATGTCACTTACCTTTCTTGAACTTATGTACTGGAAGCTTCTTAAGCTGATCCTTTTGAAGACGATTCCTTCTTGCCCTGTGTCTGTCCTGAACAAATTTTGTTATCTTGAAAGACAGGGAAATATAAAATAAGGAAAGTATGAGACTACTGAATTTTTTTGAGTTGCCTAAAGAAGGAAGTATAATAAAACTATTTATAAAATACAACAGTAAGATATGTAAATTCTTATCCAAATCCTCAATTAACAAAATACGATAATGCTTAAACTTTCAGAAGCTATGAACTGCTAAGAAAAACATTTGGTAACTGTAAGAACCACTTACTTCTACTGTTCCAAAGATGTGCAAAACACAGACAGAATTTCAGATCGTTTTTTTACATCTCTAAACTGTTTCATTTTTGTTTTTATATTACCGTATTTTTCGCTCCATAAGACACACTTTTTTTCCTCCCAAAAGTGGGTAGAAATGTCTGTGCATCTTATGGAGTGAATATGGGTGATAAGCAGCAGCGGTGAACAACGGCAGCAATCCCCACCGCCTGGAACAGCTGATCGATGGCATTCTGGGAGACTGATCCAACCGTCAATCAGCTGTTTGAAGGCGGAGGCTCCAGAGTTCCCCCACGGAGGCAGCAGACACGGAAGAGGCAGGCTGTCTGCTGCAAGGGACACTAGCCAGATGAATACTGGATGGACTCTGGGAGGCAGAGGAAGGTTTTTTTTTCTCGTTTTCCTCCTCTAAACCTAGGTGTGTCTTATGGTCAGGAGCATCTTATGGAGTGAAAAATATGGTATATGGGAGCCCCCTCGATTCACAGAAGTTTAATATACCTTCTAACTCAACAACTATCTCCTAGGGATAATCTTACAAAGCCTACCATAAAAGCCTGCTTGCTCTTTATATTCGATTTTTATAAATTGGTAGAAAAATAGTATTACAATTTTAGTAATAATTTGTAATGAAGATTTTATAGTTTTATTATTCTGAATCTATGTAAAAAGTTGGTGGTATACCAATAGGATTACATCCAGTATAGCAAGCAGATTCACTGCCTGGCAACTCTTCTACACTAAAGACCAGTTATTTGATTCCTGACACAAAATCCTTTTCTTATGGTTATCTTTTACTCTAAGTACTAGCTACTTTTTGTTCATTTGCTTATATAAAAGAAATGCATTAATTTTCATACAAAAAATGCTCCACTAGTCATGAAAAATAAATAAAATTCTTAACAAAGGTCTGATTCATTAATCTTACATAATAAAACTCGTGTTCCAGATATATTTGAAAATATCTGGAATCATAGTTCCTTTAACCCGCAACATAAAAAGGATTTTAACCTTTAATTTGCTTTTAATATTCTACTATGATATTCAACTTCTTGTCTACTCCATTCCTAAAACAAAAAAGAATAGTGACAAAAATTATAAGCTTCATATGTCATCAGAAGCAACAAGCATATTTTAGTTAAAGTTTGGGTTTATAGTATCTGCACATGAAACATTGTATGGGGCATACAGTAGGTTTTACATTCATATTAAGTTGAATATAAATAATATCCCTAAGGAAGTTCTTCTTAAACTGATGAATCTGTGAACCCAAACAGCTTTTTAAAGCTATACTAAAGATTCTAATGTATAGTTTACATAATGCCTGCAATATCTTTCACAAAGGCATACACTAAACAATAAACATTAAAATAAACTGACTTCAACAATAAAAAATGTGTTTATATATGTAGATAGACAATCTAAAGATAACACAATGAGAAAAGATTATACCTACCATGAATATAACTATAAGGATGAGACAGATTCCCACAATTATTAAGAATGGGATTAGATAATATTCCAAAGGAAGGCTGAACTCTGGGATTAGCACAATATGGGCTCTATGAAAGAAAGGAAAAACAATTTATTGTAAAAATTCTACTAAAAAAGATATAGAGAGAAGAATATCTGTAATACTGCATATGATAAAAAAGTAAATCTAAAAATACTTCATTCTTCTTCTGCTAAAACACTTGTTACATTTGGTTGTATATTTCTTTGAAGTTTTGAATTTACACAGATCACTTTTATATTGTATATGTTCACATAAATTGCCCATAAAAGCCAGCATTATTTTAAAATAAAATCATATAACTTTAGAAGATAGATAACATCAAAACCCTTCTATAAATTTGTTTAAAATGTGAACACTTATGTCTGTAAATTTTGTATAACTTTCATAGGAAAATAAAAAGTTTTGACATGAGAAAATACTTAAATGTTTGGCAATTACACCATCAAAAGAGAGCAAAACATAATATCCCTACACTCAAACTGAATATTTCATTCTGTACATCACCATAGTAAAAAAAATGTGAGATATCTTATACATACCCTTTGTCAAAAGTAAATTCTTCTTTAAGAGATTTCGCGGATGTTTCGCCAATGAAAACTGATGGAATGTCAATCTTCTTTAAAATTTCAACTGTTTTTTTTAAAAAAAAGATGATAACTAGTAATCACTAATCCAAGTGTAATATTTATTTATTACATTTATGTGCTGTCCACCTCGGCAATGAAGCAATATGCAATATATTTCCCTAATGTGGTCTGCATAGTGCTGCAGAAAGTGCCGAAGCAGAGCAGATTGCTTCATCGCTGGGCTGCATAATCACATCATAAGTGGCTGCCATTTTAGTGCAACTGCAAGGAATTGAAGCTGCTCTGAATATGGTAGCCACTTTCAGGACCCGGCCATGCAGCCGAGGGGCACTGAGGGATAGAGTGGTCTGCCTTTCTTCCCCCAATATGAGGTCCAGAGACCAGAGGTTATTGTGTGATGGGGGAGGGCAGGAGCTCAAGCCCTTTGGGGATCTGATGCGGGGGAGGGGAAGTAACTGTGGGGACACAGTGGAGGGGAGCAAGGCCTGCCTTCTCTAAATGTTTTGATTCCTTACTTAATTGGGCATTTTCCCCACATTAAACCTTCTATTTGTCATGGCGTATGACAGATTTTCAAATCTGTCCCAATTACAGTTTTGTGTTTTTGGAACTGCAGTTCCTTTACAACAGATCTCATCCTGGTGGCCCTCAGTCAATGGCCACTCATTCGGCAACCATTCAAATTTACAATGGTGCTGAATGAGTGGTACTTACAACCGCTGCTCAAAGTTCCGGCCATCGTAGCGTTTCCATGATCACATGATTGTGATCTCAGAGTTTGGCAACCAGCCTGGATTTCTAATTGTCACAGTATTCCATTGTCAATTATGATTTGCTATGTTCCCTGCCAGCTTCCCACAAACAAAATTAATGGAGGAACCATCATGAAATTGAAAGTTGCAGTCATGTGAGGTCCTCAGTGACTGACAAGAGATTCATTTACCAATAGTAATTGGGGATTGCTGGAACTGCTGTATCAGCGCATTCACGTGAGATTGTGCATTATGACCACATTGTTAGTGAAGGAAATCCCAGTCCCAATTCCAGTCTTAATTACTGTTAAGTAAACTATCTGTATTCACAGGCTAAAAGATAGAAGAGCATCTTTGTGTACTTGGCATAATACATCTGATTCTGTGTTCCTCTCATTTGATTGTAATGATATGTCCATGAAGTTCATATTAAAACAGAATTTATTTTTGGGGGGGAATTCTTAGTGGGAACAAAAAGATGGTATGCTATCACCAATGAGAAACAGAATAGTTTTCAAACAGGAGAGAATTAATACCTGTACTTACTGTCTTGAGATCCCATGCTAATGAGGTCATCAGAGTCAACATTGTGAACAATTGCTGCCTTAAACCCAGCATTCTGTGCATTCAAAATCTGCATGCCAAACACATTTGTAATGAGTACTTGTTAGAGATATGACATTATTATTGCCACCCATATATGCTTTGTAAAAGTATTGTCATCTCAAACTAATTTCTTCTTTTATTTGTGTGCTGTTCTTATACTATGCAAACTGTACAAAATAAAGTGGGTGATATACAGTATATCTTATTTTTTTGCCACCCTGGTGTCAATGACTCTTGATATTGGAACTTTGATATAGTACCACTGAGCACAATACTTTGTCCCAATTACCTATATTTAGAAGTAGGAATATCGCTGAAACCTCTTTTTGCCCCAAGCAAATTCACTGTGTTCTACAAAAGACAAATTAGCTGTTTCCAACATCAGCTTTTTTATTTTACAATCTAATCCAGAATGTAATAGATCCTGAGAATTAAACTTGATTGGTTTTACAGTCCCATCCTGCGTTCACTAGATAATGCTCAATATTGAAAGAAAGCAAATATTTCCATAGTTAATTCTACAAATTCAATGCTATTTAAAATTTACACTGATTCATCCACAAACATTGTGTTCAAAGGGTAATAAGCTGCTTTAAAGGACAATCAAACCTTACAATATCTCTTTCTAGATCTGGTCTCTCTTCAATGGGAGAGAAACTCAGACAAGTTTGTATAAGAGATCAACCATTCAGATAAGTCTGTAAAGTTACAGAAATTGCATATCTTTAGCTTATAGTTTTCATATGAGTGTTTGCTGTTCTTAAATGGGGGCAAGGAGTCCATTTTAAACCATGACAATACTACAAGAGCTGCCTAATTAATGGCCTATTCCAGAAATTTTTCAAGCAACCTTACCACGTGCTTTCAAAATTAGTACATTTGAGAGGGAAAAGGTCAAGTTATCTAAAGTCCATAAAGATAACCAAGCATTTATGTTTACAATTTTACACAACTTTATCTAGAAGTAAATCTGACCTATTCTAAATTGTCGTACAAAAGATTTAGTGTATGTTCCTAGGCAATACTTTCTTGACCGCTCCACCTAACCATGCCATTTCTTTTAATACTAGATTTAAGGGAGTATTACTTGTCGTGCAGCAAAAACAGTTGTTATAGAAGGAATCGTGCTTGCTCAAGTCTCAAGTTTGTCATCAGCAGTCTGCAAAAAGCCCAAAGGTCACTCCTTTAGTTTTAAAAGGTAATGTGAGATGGCCAATATATTTATGTATATATTTGTTCAGTGTCACAGAAGGCCTTGCTCCTAAATCTTAAAACTAAGGTCTGCCATTGGACAGGCAATGACTATGTGCAAAACATTTACAAACATGCTTACTCTGAAGTAAGTCTAATCAAGCAGTTCAATAAGCTGTATTCCCTAGTAACCATATCTGTTTTGGATAATGACTATAGTACACAAGTTTAATGTAGACATATTGAAGATTTCAATTACAAATTGTCATTTGCAAATTTTCATAAACTGTATATATTGTTCATTACACATACTTTCCTAAATAAATAAAACAGATTATTTAACATTTGACTACTATGCTGTTTAGTTCCTCTTCCTCGGTAAACATTTTATTAGATCCACAGAGTCCTGAATACAAAGCTGCCTCTCACGTTAGACTAAATCACTGTTTAGAAGTCCTACACTACCGATAATCCGTAAGGCTTGTTCCTTATTCTACTGTTGTCAATCAAAATAAATATTTTAGCAGCATTAATTTCAGTATTCAATATAAAAACAGCTTACACATAGCAATTGCAATTTTAAAAAGATAATGAATAGTGATAGTGGATGAAACTACCGAAGTTTGCAGCTTGGGAAGTGATCAGGATTTATTTCAAACTATACTATCTGATTTCTATGCAACAAGCCTACTGCTATAGAAAATAAAGTTAAGCTATATCAAAAATTCTTCTGGCCGTGACAATTCACTGCAATTCATACACTTTCTCCTAAGCAAAAGTTCAGTAACACACACACACACACACACACAGGAAAAAAGTAATACACTGTGTTAAGACCAACATATATGTTCAGTAGCTCTAGCAGTAAGCATTTTGACTATACTGCTTGAGATAGTAAGGAAACAAAAGAAACATTTAGGTAAAATAGTGTGGGCATTGGGCAAGAGCAGAATTTTCCCTCGATTGCTATTTTTTTTTCTTAAATCTTAGCAGTTTGTTTTATGCTAAGAATATTCAAAATTGTTCTCCTCTAGCAGTCAGATGACGTTCCAATCCTGAATTTAACATATGTGTAAACAGCAGCCATTGGAGAAGAGCAAACCTCTGCAAATATTCTCTTTTGCATTTGTAGAGTTCAGCTCGCCCTATCCCACCTCCAGGTTATTTAAAATTCCTGAGACCTGCTATTTAAATAAAAACAAGACAAAAACACACTTTTAATTATGTTCATATAACCATTGTGTTCAGTATAGCACCCTATTAACTGTGGTGGGAGTACACACTCCTTGCATTCCACTTTTCTAGCAATATTACTAGTCATCTGCCAGCTTGTTATTTTATTAGCACTGCTCTGAAATATGTGAATGGCACGTGCAAGGCGTCCTCAATCATATGAACACGCTATACACCTAAGTTTTACAACACATTTTTCTTTTTATACTTGCTTTACTTTGTAAACCACAGCAACAGATTTTGTCCAAGCCACAGTTTTATGTGTTAGATATTGTGATATGCTTGGAAGTGGTTAGAAAAATTGGAATTAAACATAATTTCAGATCCTGGATTATTTTTACTTGAAACAGGAAAGTAAAGTTGGAGAGGGAAAAATAAGCCTAGGACTGGCAAATGTATTAATTTTAAGAATATGCTATCTTCATCTCTGTTCACTAATCCCAGAAATCCATGTCATGTTCAGCATGTATTTTAATGTGTAAGTTATGCTGCATTTTACTGTAGTTTAAACTCTTGTCTTAAGAAGACTAAAAAAATGAAGCAGTTGCATTCTGGAACAAAGCCAAGTGCCAACTCTTACACTTCTGAAAATATAAAAAATGTCATTTATTTTCAAAAGTATACAGTACAGGTTGCTGGTACCCACAAAAAAAAAGAAGTTGCAAGCCCTTCATTAAAGACATGCAAATATTGCACATTAAGTGATTGCAGAAGAAAAGGAGTTTCTCCCCACAATGGTTGACATATAAGAGAAATTGATGGATAGCTCTAAAACCATTTAATTAAAAGTATAGCAAAAAATTTTTTTTGAAATATTCAATGTTTTCTGGCAACCTGAATGCTATTATGTCTCGAGAAAAATAGAAAAAAGAGAGAATAATTTTCTGTCTTTTTTAGAGCGGGTTTCTTTCTGTGTATTTTAAATTGCATTGTGTACTAGTTTGCAAGGTGTTACCTGTCGCAAAACAATGACACATAGTTCCAACAAACTTCAGCAAGAAGAAATTTGGGAGGGCAACTTGCCCAAATTTGATTTATGCATATGGACTCAACAGTGTGACTCTTTTCAAGCAGCGTATTTAAACATAATTTTGAAGCTTCAGAAACTACATACATGTCTGAATCGAAGACATGAAAGGTTACCTACCTTTATATCAAAATTGCAATCAAGCCTTCTGATTAATACAATGAATTCACGGGATGAGTTATCCTTCAGAGGTGGACCAATTATAGGCTCACAGGCGTTCTCAGGTTTTGAATTTATTAGGAAGCCCTGAAAACCAATTTCAAAAGATACGTTTAGCATTTTGACATAACATGGGAAATTAAGAATTATTTTTTTTACGGTTCTGGTGGGTTGTGCAGTATAAATAAAAATGTAATATAATTAACAGAAACTATAAAATAGCAGCACAGTTCCATATTGATTACAAATAAAGTAATTTTGATGATTGCAGAAAGATAATGACATTTCTTTGCACGAAAGGTATTCCAAAGCCTGAATAAAGATTGCAGCCATGCCTCCTCCCACAATCAGGCTAGTACACTTGCACAATAACTCACCTGGTGACAAGTCACGGGCCAGGAAAAATCATTCTGAACTAACCAGCCCTCCAATTACCCAGTGCTGCACTATACAACAACTTTAGAACAGTTTAGACTGAGTTTGGGACTTTATAAATAACCAGTGCAGCAATCAAAGCTTAAGTATCTCTGTGTAAATGCTTGATTGCTGTGGTCTCTATCAATTGCAGTTTCTCAATTTCCTTCGATAGCACCCTCATTTAGAATATATTGCAGAACTGGAAATATTTTGGTCAAGGAAGGGCAGGAGCCACAAGGCAAGGAGGACCTACTTACTTTTGAGGAAGAAATAGCAATAGCAATAGCAGTTAGACTTATATACCGCTTCATAGGGCTTTCAGCCCTCTCTAAGCGGTTTACAGAGTCAACATATTGCCCCCAACAACAATCCGGGTCCTCATTTTACCCACCTCGGAAGGATGGAAGGCTGAGTCAACCCTGAGCCGGTGAGATTTGAACAGCCGAACTGCAGAACTGCAGTCAGCTGAAGTAGCCTGCAGTGCTGCATTTAACCACTGCGCCACTTCGGCTCTATAGCTGAGGGGAAGGGAGCTTGGCTCAGAGCTATCACTTTAATTGAATCAGACCTAGCATTTCCTGAAACTACAGTATTTCCACCTTGCTAGGATTTAATCCGAGCTTGTTTTATCCCATCTATTCCCTCCAAGTTCTGAGTACCAATTCTACACCTCCAAATAATCTCTTGCCTAGCCTAGCCAGTGATGTATAACTGAATGTCATCAGTATATTGAAAATTAATACAATTAACACGTTATACTGAAATCTAAAATGTATCAGCCAAATATATGCAGTCTAAGAAGGTAATACAAAACATAGTATCTCGTTCAAAATATCTGTACTGGTTTTATTTCACAGAAGTTGCTATGATACCCTGTAGCACAGGGCTCGCCAACCTTTTAGACTTCAGGGACCACTAAATTCATAATTTTAAATCTTGCGGACCATTAATATGATTTTTTTTAAAAAAAGATAAACAGTATTCAGTGCAATATAAAAAATGCAAATAAATTTTCTGCGGACCACCAAAATTTTCTCATGGACCACCACTGGTCCTTGGACCACCAGTTGGTGAGCGCTGCTCTAGTGGATAGTTTTAGGTGGTTAGTTGGCATTAGTTTTTTTTTAAAAGGCAGCAGCTCTGGCTTATGCTATTATGGAATTTCAGCTCTTGGGAGATAATTTCTTATAGTATGACAGTTTGGAAAGAGAGCAGCAGAAACAGAGAAAGCCATCCGAAAAAATCAGTTGCACACTCTCTACACACTCTGTTGAGAAAGAAAAAATATTGTGCTGGAAGAACACTCAGTATTCCTGTACTGTATAGCTGCATTCATTGTGCTATCAGTTACAGGATGTTCATAATCCAAATTGTTGTGGCCAGGAACACTTACCAACTATGTGATTTTCCAAATAAGCACTAATATTATTTAATCTCTAGTACCAGTTGCTGGGAAGAGATGCTCTTCTAAAAAGTCCTTCATGCAATGTAATAGACGAGAACTCATCCTATCTGTTTTGCAGAACTACATCAACATTATGCAATCTAAATTATAAAACATCTTATACAAAACATGGCAATTAGTTCAGTTTACTTATGATTGCATATTTTAAATTCTTTTAGGATAAAAAAAATGACAGAAGTTTCATCTATGTCAATCAAAATTCTTAATGGGGCAAAGATGACATTACTGATTATCAGAATCCTTTGCCAGGTAAGAATGAAATCAGAATCCTAGTATCCTAAAGTCCAATACAAATTAAAATTAATCAAATGTCAAGGTACAGTATAACTTATAATGACAACTTTCAAGTGCAACTGAGTTATGCTTCCAGCTCTACTTCATATGGGCATTGATCCAGCAAACCACTTAAGCATGTACTTAAATACACAGATAGGTAAATGTTTAGGTTTTAAGCATATATTAAAAAGCTTTGTTGCAGCCTGCCAATTTTATAGTATTTTAAGTGCATTTTCATTAATGCATTTTAACCAGAAGCAGAATAAGAATTTTATTTAATCTTCATTTTAAATCTATTTCTTGAGAAAGGAAAAACATAGACCCTCTCAGGATCCTTAGCCCTATCAGATATAATCACTAGAGAAGGAAATAGTATACAGTACAACTATTATATGGGCTTACTGAATCAAAGCTTTGAGTGGTCCCTTTATAGGCAGTCCTCAACTTACAACCACAACTGGAACTTCTATCACTAAGGATGAGTCAATAAGTGAGCCTCTCCTGATTTCACCACCCTTTATGCCAGTCATTAAATGAACTTTTAACTTTCTATTGTCTAATTATTCACAATTCACAAGTATTTAATTATACGCCCAATATGTAATTGCTAATTATTTTGTTGCCTTTGTAGCACAATGGATATCAGTTTACCAAGACTGTCTATCAATAAGTTCTCCTTTCAATTCTTGTTAGCTCAATAACAGTATTTTTCCATCTTATTTTCTGTCAGACTTTTCTATAATTGTTTCTGATTCAACAAGCTCTGGATCTTCCCCAGTAACTCTTGTCTTCATGGTATAGGTCCAAAATATTTAACCTTTACCTTCATCTTCCTGTGAGCTCTGTAGTTTTATAGAGCATTGAATTATTTGTTTTTACAAAAAATATTCTCAATTTTCCCAGTACCACAATTCAAAGGCGTCACTTTTTCGTTCAACCTTTCTAATAAACAAGCTTTCAAAGTACATGTTTCATCTAAAAAAAAAACAGAATCTTGACAAAACATATTTTTGCTGTTGGTGTGATATCCTTACACTTTAGCGTTTTGTCTGGATTTGCCATGGCAGATGTCACTTTATTTTGACTACCACTGTGAATCTTTGAGCCTAGGAAAATGAAGTCTGTTATTACTTCACTTTCCTTATTGTCTGTTCACATTGGGCTGTCATTGCTTGTTGAAGGAATCTTTTTTTAAAGAAATATTGACCAGCTGACTCCTTTACTTTCAATAAGAGTAACTTATTTTAGTTACTTCCGCTTTCCTTTTAGCCATCAAAATGGCATCATTAGCATATCTGAGGTTGCTGATGTTTCTCCTAACAACCTTCATTTCAGTTTCTGTTTTTCCTTCTCGGGCACTCTGCATAAACATTGTTTTTTTTTAAGAAACCACAGCATATAATCTTAGCCTGCTCCTTTTTCAATCTTGAACAATGTAGTTGCTCCATATTCCTTCTAACAGTTATTTCCTGATGATTGCATAAATTATTCAACAGATAGATAAGGTAATCCAGTGTTTTTAAGGTTTTTTGTTGTGGTTTGTAGAGATGAAGGCAGTTGTATAATTAATGAAGCAAAAAAATATTAATGTATGCTTGAAAGTCCCGTGTCTTTTCCATTATCCATCAGATGTTTGCAATATAATATCAGATGCTACTGCCTCTTCTGAATCCAACTTAAACATCTTGTGATGCTTTCTGTGCAGCTAAAGCCTGAATAGGGGGAAAATTGAGCATTTTCTTACTGCCATGTGAGATAAATGCAACTTGTGATTTGAGCATTCTTTACCACTGCTCATTTTAATATTGGAATAAAGATTTTTTTTGTATCAGTCTACAAGCAGCAAACCGTTAGCATTTTAACCATATCATCTTAAAGCTGCCTTGAGCCAGAAGATGGGTGGTATATAAATTTAATTAATAAAATAAGAAAAGAAAATAAGCTTTAAACAGTTAACTGATGTTTCATGAAATCTCACAACTCATTGTTAGCAATATTACCAATAGTCTATTTCACTTCACTTTCCAGATCCCTGACTCTAGTTCAGAAATCAAATTACAGAGAGAGAGAGAGACAGACAGACAGACAGACAGACAGAGGGAGAGAGAGGGGGAGAGAGATATCTTCTTCAATAGATTTTTATTTTCTTTGTCATTTAGGGTTAGGGTTGAAATAGGGTTATCTGAAATAACTAGCACCTCCAGAACAATTATCCTCAATTTCTTTGCATTGCTTTTTTAAATATACTTCCTTCCCTATTGCTCCTCTCTGGAACTTAGTGTTTAGTTGGGTAAATTTTCACTATCATCTTCTACCTTTTGCCAGCCCTTTTTACTATACTGGCAAATGGACATTTCATCTTCTTTTTGTTATTTTTCATTCAAGGTATTTTTTTATCTCATCTTTAATGATGCCATAAATTTCAAAACAGCTCTTCAAACACTCTATTTATCAAGTCTAAATCTATTATTTATCTTCATTGCATTACCATGCAGACTACTGATAAGATTACCATTTCTTGTTGGCCAGTTTTTATTGTATTTTATTGGTAATTATCTAAGAATTATTTCATGATCTGAACCACAATCAGCCTCTTGCCTCATTTTTGATGCCTCCTCCATCCTTGCTTGCACACTACATACTTAATCAATTTTGTTGTATTTAAGTACAATGACAATAAAGATTATACTTATAATTTGATTCCAATATTGACCATCCTGTGACAAATGTACTCGTATTGTTGCTTTCTAGTGTATTTTGATATTATAAACTGCTAAAATGTGGCAAAACACTGTTTTTCCTGTTAGTGCAAATGCTATTTTATTCCAATTTCAGCATTCCATTCTTCTATAATGTAATATCATTTGAGGATGTTTTTGCTGATCCTAGAATGTCAACGTGGTGAATCCTGACACATCTATCTGACGTTTGCCTTAATTCATGTTTTTGACATCAGCAGCTGGATGTTCTTTTAATCTGAATCCAGGCACATTGCCAACATAAAAACTATTCCAATTTGTCCTTTGTTCTTTGCACTGGAATATTTTCTCATTGAATGATCCATCTATATCTTCTTAACCTGTAAGACTCATCTTCCAGTGCCATATTGACATTGTCCTGGCCTTGAAAATCTATGTGGTTTTCTTGGTAGAATTCTGCCGTGGGTTCCCATTTTTTCAAATGGATTGTATTCTATCTGCTCCATTTTCAATGACTGGTCTATCATGGGTACCCTTTTGAAAGTATATAATCCTAATGGTATAGCTGAATGTCACTGAGATGTGCAAGTCTTTTCATTGATACAAGGCAATGTTCCCTTGATTAATTGATTGATTATATGCCATCAAATGGTTTTCGAACACCTACTGACCACACAGATTTTCTCTCCATGAACCAAGAGAACATTTTCTCATGTTCCAAGACATGGCCTATACATTAATTTATTTTAAAAACCATTAGAGAAGTAGACAATAATTCAAGAACTCTTTGGTAGAAGCTAGCAAATTTTCTGATGCATTTTACAGCATTACTTGATATACAACCTGACAACTAACGCATTATATTTACCTTGAGATGCTAATTTGCCAATTTTCTTGCAATTACTTTTGAAGACAAGTGACGAGGATCTCAGTCAATATCAAAAGAAACCAAAACATTCTCAGAATACATCACTCTAGAAATATAGGTACAATATTCTGCAATTCCTTTTGATCTTGGCATAGCTATTGAGATGCGGTAGTGCAGTGGTTAAATGCAGTACTGTAGGCTACTTCTGCTGACTGCTAGCTGCTGGTAATTTGGCAGTTCAAATCTCACTGGGCTCAGGGTTGACTCAGTCTTCCATCCTTCCAAGGTCGATAAAATGAGGACCAAGATTGTTGGGGGCAATATGATGACTCTGTAAACCGCTTAGAGAGGGCTGTAAACCTCTATGAAGCTCTATAAGTCTAAATGCTACTGTTATGCTAATGCTATTGCATATTAAGGCCTATAAAGAACCAAATGCTTCTAAAAACAATCATATTTTTTTGACTGTACATTGGCAATTTAGATGACAGAATTCCCAAGCTGTTTATTCTAAGAAATACTGCCTTTGCAACTGTTATCAAGCTAAGTTAGTAATGCAGACTATAATAGCAAACTGTTCTACTCAAACCAAGAGAAAAATGAGTGCAACAGAAAATTAGATGCATAAATTGTTATTAGTGGAAAATATGCTATGAGATACCGTGTTTCCCCCAAAATAAGACAGAGTCTTATCCCCCCCCCTCCCTGAAATAAGCGCTTGGCCTTATTTTCGGGAAGGTCTTATTATTTTTGAGATGCAGGAGGTGGTGAGCGTGGTCACCTCATGGTTGCTGATGTGTTGCAATATTTTCAGGGAGGGCTTATTTTAGCCCATGCGCTCAAAAGCCCAATTGGGCTTATTATCCGGGGAGGTCTTATTTTCAGGGAAACAGGATAGGAATATCACCGGAATATACTGTATACTGCTTAGTACAGCTCTGAACATACTGCACAGGGGCTGAGAATTTCTAATCAATAGACCAACATTCAGAACCTAGTTTCTGATTTGAAAAGTACTTATGTAAAAGACTGTAATAGGCGTCCTGTTATCAAGATCTCTTCTATAGCTGGTTAGATTGTTTACTCACAAAGGCAAGGTGATAGAGATTACAGGACACTAGAGAAAATTATTAAATATACAGGGGCTTACTATTTTCCATTTTACTATAATGATCTGTGCTCAAAGCAACAATCCAGTCAGAGAATCAAAATTTAACATAAAATATCCTGAAGATGCTCATTAATACAGAGCTATAACAGAAAAGTTAAGATTAAAAGATGAGGCACTCAGTTACAGATGGATTAGGTCACATTACCTCAAAGCACTCAATTAGTATTTCAAATGGCAAGAACGTAATGTTTGATTAAACAAGAATCCCCAAATTTCCCTTTCAACAGCAGATGACAATTTGTATAGTCAGGAAATTACCATCAGGTAAATTACCATTTAATAATCTGTTTCAAAATTATTACTTCTTACCTTCAAACCTTCAGTAGGCAACCTATAACCAAATCTTGCTGGTAAGTCATCAAATGTCTGTGTTGCATTTTCAAAATTATACTATAATACACAAGAAACACAAAAACATATAACGTATTAAACTACAAAATTAGTCATATACAATATCATTACATAATTGTATAGTAGAATTCAAATAACATACTCTTGAGTTAAACAACGATCTTTCCAAAAGGATTGTTACAAAGTATGGATCAAGACACTTCTCATTTTGAAATTCTGAAGTAGCCCAACTATAAGATATATTTTGCTTTCATTTATTAAGTGATATTTAAACCAAATCCATGAATAACTATAGAGACTGTAAATTATTTTTCTTTTTTGGAAAGTCAGAGTCAGAAAGTGCCAGTAAGAAAGAAAAACTCAACATTTAGAAATTCAGTCAGCTTTTTGTTTCTATTCTGTCTGCTACACCAAAGAGAGAGGGGGGGGGGAATTAACAATCATATAATGTATACTTACATTTTATGTATGACTTTTTCAATATGAAACTAACTTAAACATAAACTAGAGCAAGTTAAAATTAATATTACTTATAGTGCATTTATAGCACTGAAAACTAATCTTCGGAGAATAAATGAAATGTAGAGAAATCTAAGCAGTAATTTTTGTTGAGAAATAGTGAAAATATTTTATTAAATAGAATTATTCTGTACTAAGACTTGGCTTACATAGCAGGCATTGAAAAATAAACCACTAAAAGGAGCAATAGAGATTCTTCCGAAATAAAACATATTGGAGAAAAGAGGCGTTGGTCCTACAGATTGCTCCTTGTGTGGTTTGCCAACTCATTACTCATATATCATATGTTGGTCATAAGCTACAATTAACTTAGTGCTTTTAAGACTTAAGTTGGGAGAAGATGGAAGGTAATTTATGAAAAAAAGTGGATGAGTTGAACAAAAATGTGTGTGCGCACGCTTTTCTATGGATACATTCACCTGCTATAAGCAAGCAGAGTTTCTATTTTGTCCTAATAGTAAAGAGGCCCTCAACTCAATTTGCTAAAGTTGTATTTGGCCATTTTGTGCATCTGTGGAACAAGGCTTTGGAAAGGCAAAATTGAACTGAGGGCCACAATGACCTCTGAATAATACATTAAGTTAAATGCTAAATGGGATAGAGCCATTCTGCAAATGAGTCAGGTCATATCAGAAGAGGGGCACATGTTTTTGGTTTTTATTTTTATGAAGGCAAGGTAGTTCATAAAAGTAAATGCAAGTAGGCAGGAAAGACAAGGGAAAGAACAAGCAATATAAAGGATTATTGCTTAATGGAAAGCAAGATGAGATAATGAGGTAGTGGATGTTATAGATAGTTGAGATAGTCCAGACCAGTGGAAAATGTAAGTTAGTATATGTGCTATGAAAAATTTAGCCATAGTATCTGGTGAAATACTTGAGTCTGTATCTAACATGCAACTAACCTAGGTGTAAAGCATTGGGTACCATTTTTGATGAATATTTTATGCTATAAAGTAATTATAAAACTTACCGCTATGATATCGGCTTCTACTGGCAATAGGTTTAAAAAAGCAAACAGCTGAACTGTGAGAATAGTATAAATCTGAGTGGCAGACAACATTAACATTCCTATTGATAGCAGCATCTTAATGAAATTCCTGAAAAGAACAAAAAAAGAGAATTGGGATATGAAAAAAGCATTGACTTCTCCTTCTTTACTTTTACCCCTTTGGGTGTCGAAGGAGATACAAAGTCCGGCAACCTCAACCATTGTTAATTGATGTCGTTGTCAAAGTATAAGAAATGCTTTAAGACGATCCAATTATAGCCACAAGTTATAAAAGTCAGCTAAATATCCGGTTGTTAAATAAATAGCACACAGTCTAAGAAGCTATTGACAAGGCGTATTTTAAGAAGCATAGGGTGATTTTAGATTTACAGGTAAAAACAGCTATTTATTATTTTACTAACAGTATCACAATTCTTTATTTTTATAGTCATGAAGTATGATTGTATTAAGTATCACAAATAACAGCGCAGTAAATGTAACCCTGGTTTAATGACTATTTGCAGTTATGTTGGTGGTAAAAAAGTAACGTTATGACCAATCCTCACATTTATGGTCTCTGCTGGCCTGTAAAGCAAAGAAAAGTTGAAGCAAGATCAGAAGTGCAGTCATGGTGTCAGTTAGCAATTGCTTTGCTTAATGACACAACTGCAGGTAATAGTTGTGGCCATTAAACGAGGACTACCTGCATATTACTATTCCTGAATTATAAGGAAAATTTTTATCACAGATTTTGTATAAGGTTGGCAAGGTGGGAACTAAAAGTTTCCAGGCCAGAGATGGTCATTATGCAAGCATGCACAAACTATACAGACTACCAAGTATTTACGCCAAGGATCAATCAATTTATGAAGGTAAGAAGAAACCTATGTTTAAATCCCTAAAAGTATATCTTTGCACTGGCAGTGAGGGGGCACTCATGTGTTACATATGGCTTTATGTAGAATAAGCATTCTAACATAGCCGAGATGCATTTATTTTACAAATGCTCATCACTACCAATCTTAATTAAATAATTCTAAGGGGATAACAAGTAATAAAAACAAGCACATTAAAACCCAGCAACAATAACAATAAAAGACTCCCGATAAAATAACTGATTCTTCAATCATCACAGAGCAAAACACATACATTGGATTTCACTATCATCATGACACCCTTTTTAAGGACTCTGAAAGGCCAATAGGGTTGTGGACTTCTGAACTTCAGCGGTGGAAATGAGGGCTGTTCCACAAGGAAGGCACTGTGACAGAAAAGGCATATATGCCTCTTAGGTCTCATAACATTGTTTCACAGAAGGGATCTGGCACATGGCCATCTTTTTAAATCAGGTAGAACAGGGAAAGACAGGCAGTCCACTAAATATCCTGGCCCTATGCTTTAAAAATGGTAACTAATATGATGAATTGCACCCAAAAACCCATTGAAAGTTACATCCCACATAGCAGTGATGTTACATTAGCATAACATGATGCACCCAAAATGGGCCACACCGCTATATTCTGGATAAGCTGTAGCTTCCAAAGGCTTTTTAAAAATGGTACCCCTGTGTAGCGTTCACTGCAACCGTTCAACTGGAAATTGACTAAAATGACTAAAGTATGAGTGACCATGAGCAGAATCTCTCAATCTAAGAATAGGCACAACTGATGCACATCATGGATTTAAGCAATGGCCCTCTTGTCCCTGGCCACTTCGGTGTAGGAGAATGCTATTACACTTGAAATTAACAAAAACTCCAGAAATGGGGGTGGGTGACTGGGTGGGGGAAATCACTGAACCCCATTTCTGTGAAGGTAATCTTCCTTATTCTTTACAATAGTTTGAATCCAAGCCTGTTCCATCTCATTCAGTCAGCTGCCAGGCACTGACCTAGAGTACAATTATATAACTGAGTCTCATCAGCATACTACCATTGTGGAGAAACTAGGAGGAGAAGATGTGCTGGATATGTTCTCTGCCTTGAGTTATTTGTAAAAATAATAAAATCAGCAAATAAATAAATAAATGAACAAATACTGATAACTTAATCCCTTGCCAACAGATGGTCTCATAGCTTCATGTGGATATTAAATAGGAGTGGGGGAGATGACTCATGGCCCGATCTCTTCCCCCTCCCAACACCCATTGGAACCCACCTCAAAGGAAGGCAACTGCTGAGGAGAAGCGCACTCCACCCCAAACCTTCTAAACCAATTAGAAGGATACCAAGATCAACAGTATCAAAAGCTGCTGAAAGATCAAGAATAGCTAGACACCATTCTCTTCCTGACTTCCTAAAAAAAGTCAAGCACAAGTGTGATTACAGGTAAAGGTTCTCCTCGCACATATGTGGTAGTTGTTTCCAACTCTAAGGGGAAGGGCTCATCTCCGTTTCAAAGCTGAAGACCAGCGCTGTCCAAAGACGTCTCCATTGGTCATGACTAAATGCCAAAGGCGCACAGAACGCTGCTACCTTGCCACCAAAGATGGTCCCTATTTTTCCACTTGCTTTTTTGCATGCTTTCGAACTGCTAGGTTGGCAGAAGCTGGGACAAGTAACGGGAGCTCATTCCCCCCTTTCCAAATCAAAGGGTTCCATCACCCACTAGAAACCACACTCCACAAAGCGATGGGCCAATTGAAACACCAAGAATGCGTCTGCAAAGCAATCAATCAACAAGCCATAAAACTCCCTTCCTATCTACTCATCATACCTGTAAGTGTTCAGCAATAACCCTGAAGAAGAACTCCAAGTACTACTCCGTAAATATCAACTCAATCCTGGGAGAGATGAGGCGTGAAACAAACTCAAGGTAAGCTCAGTTTTATTCTGCTTTGTGTGAAGGGAGACAGAGGGATACTATGGGAGTCTTTCAAAAACCTGTTATTATACCCTATAACAATAAAGTAGAATCCTAACTAGATCTAACCTAATACCACCTTCACTATCAATCCTTGTAAATCAGTTTTAACAACCAGGAATCTGCCAGCCACCACTAAATCTTGTGTTTTCTCCCAAGCCAAGCCAAGATGTTGATCTAAGCTGTAAAGTAACATCCTATTTTACTGCTTATCCCATATTGGGAAACCTGACAGGTTTATCTAATTACAGCCTAGATCCCATAACCTTTGTCCCATGGGCATATCAAGAATTCTGAAAAGTTAATTTGGGTGCACTTACAAAATGGTTATAAGTGCCCTTACAAAATAGCTTTCTTGATGAGTCACAAAAGATGCACTTACCCAAGAGCAAGTTGGCAAGAATCTCTTGAACCTTTCCTTATTAATATTTCATTTATCTAGGCAGACCGTCACAGAACTAAACACTAGACTACATAGGTTCAGAGGACCTGTTGAAAATTAAGATAATGCTGGAGACCATATACCTTTTCTCTTGATATTTAAATATTGACTTCTTTTTTTAAAAAGGAAGTACCGGTACTCCAAACATGATTCATTAATCTGCAAAATAGTGCTCCATAATTTGCTAGTCCAAATAAAAACACAATATATTCAAACTTCTATACCTTATACTGAAGGCAGTCAGATACTCATGTCCCTCGTTTACCTGATTGAGATTGTAAACATTCCTCAGGTCTAAAGATGCAGACATTCTGCAGCTGGTCTAACAGGTCTGATATTACAGGAAGTGGATAATGATCCCAGATCATATCCTTACTAAGATCTTTGTAATCATGGATGGTGTTCCCTTTTTCGTTTCTTTGCAATGAAAAAGACTGGGGCAGAGGCTGGGGACTTAGGGGGAAATCTTAAAAGGAGATTTAGCAGACTATCAAGGTATTCCTTTAAAATACTAAACTGTTTGGTATACATGAGATAATGTCTTTTGCCTGGGATTTTTGCTCATGGTTTCAGGTCAATTGTGCAATCACAGCCCCTATGAGGTGGAAGTGCAATGGTGGCCTCCTCCTACTCTCCAAAGACAGCATGTTTAGTAGGTGCTCCACATACTCTGGCTGAATGCTCACTATAAGCACCAAGGAGAGAATGGAAGTTTGTGCTCAATGGAGAGGGAAAGGAGATTGCTCCAGTCGTCCAGTCTGCTCATGGTTTATAGAGTTGCACCACAGGCACTTTCAAGGAAGCTGTTATGTAAAAAGGCAAGAATCCCATGTCAATTGCCAGCTGCATTAGAGTAGTGAACTGCAAAAAACCTTCAAAGTCTGGCTATCTACGGTCTCTTCTTCTACGAGTCTTAGTAGTTTTACTGCAATTTATGACCCACCTCTACATCTATAAACTTTGTGATGAGATGAAAGCATTTATTTCCACCTTATACCCCAATTCTAAGGCTATAGTCACAAGAGTAAGAAAACATTCTTACCCCCTTTGTCTTGAGCTCTCTTTATTTGCTGGCTGGTTCCCTCCTCTGAACTCTCATGATGGAGGCTACTGGCGTCCCCTGGTGAGCATCTGTGGATGAGAGTAGGTACTTGCTGGTGGGTTGTTCGGATGCTCTAGTTCCTGCTGCTGGTTTTCTCACTATGAAGGTCCTGGCAATATGCCGATTCTCCACAGTAAAAACAGAAGCACAGATCTTTTTGCCTATCTCCTGCTTCAAGACTAACTTATTGACAGCTCCAATTTGCAGTGACTTTCCATTCTGTCTCTGGAGATGCAACATATTAGAAATCTGTGACCTGCAGGCACCTCTTACACTGGTGTGCTTGCTCTGCTTCAATTTTTCCAAGAGTGTCAATTAATCAAACAGTGTTGGATCATCTAATTGAGGCAAGAGACCCTTGCCATTCTCAACTCGAGTATTATCATTCAACCCCACTCTAAATTGGATAAGTGCCATTTCATTCCATCCAACACCCCAGCCAACAATTTAAAATCTGGGATGAACAAGCTTATTTTCTTATTTCTCTGTTTGAGTTTCCAAATTTCCCAACTGACTGTGATTCTCTGAATGGGATAGCTGAAATTGTGTCTAAACCTCCTGATGAAGTTCTGGTAGTTGTCCAGTATCAGGTTATTGTCTTCTACCATTAGACTGGCCCATTTCACAGCCCACCCCTGTCATCAAATTCAATAAAAAGGTCACACTAATGTGATCTGTTGGGAACTCATTACTCTACTATTATTGAACATTTCATTCTGAGCCAGAAATATTCTTAGTTGGTCTACAACTCTTCTGAATTTCTCTACTAAGCTTCCATAGAGTGCAATAGCACTGGCTCCGCTGCTACTGCTGCATAACTTATTGCACAACTTTGCACTACAGCAGCTTATTGACCTCTGCGTGTACCTGCTGGCGATGCTGGAGTAAGGATGCTGCTAGCTGCTGTGAAGTTATTGGCACATCCTTGCACCAAATGGCTAGAATCTTGCCAAACTAAAGTTGTAACCTTCTAATATTAGGTATATCCTGAGAGATGCTAGGGTGTGGCTACCTGAACCTGTTCTTATCCTCCCCCTAATCAGGCTTGTCTCTGGGAAAGCTCATATTTCCCAAACTACTTACTACTGTTTCTTCAGGTGCACATTCTACAACCCTTGAATTTTGCCCTGCATGGCAGCAGCAACTCCTGGGCCTGCTACATTCACGCTACATAATTTAATGCCGCCTGCTTGTAGCTGCCTGGGACTTGTTTGATGATACTCACTTAACAACAGGAATGGGAAATGCCAAGATTACTATTGCTAAGTAATGTGGTCATATTATGTCAATCTTTACATGACCACATTGCTTAGTGACAGAAATCCAAACCCAATTACTATTGTTAACTGAGGACTACCTGTTTCCTGAAAATGAGACAAAGATAGAAATTGAGATTGTTCCTAGTATATCTTCCCTGCTGCTCAAAACCTCTGAATCTTTGAGTCATCTTGCTGCTGATATTGCAAAAATTGAAATATGGTTTTGGGAGACTAGAACTTTCATGCATTGGGACAAGGAACTGAGTCAACTAGAGATTGCACAGCCTGCATTACAAGTATGGGCTTGTCACAGCTAATTCCAGCCCCAAATCACAAAAGAGAGCATATGCTAAAACTCCTTTTTAGTCTAGAGTAAATGAAATATAATTTGAATATAAAAGCTACTTATATTTGTCTTCAGATTGTCTTCACTTAGGCAGAAAATATAAAAAATGCAAGTACAAATATACAACCTGGCTCAAAAACAGTAACTATAAGAGGGACCTTGAAGTGCTAGTGGACAGTCACTTAAATATGAGCCAGCAGTGTGCGACAACAGCCAAAAAAGCTAATACAATCCTTGGTTGTATAAACAGAGGGATAGAATGAAAATCACATGAAGTATTAGTACCACTTTTTATAGAATCTTAGTAAGACCACACCTGGAATACTGCATCCAGTTTTGGTCACATTACAAAAATAGAGGTTGAGAAAATGTTTGGAAATAGTGGAGAGAAGAGCAACTAGAACGATTAAAGGTCTGGAGACTAAATATATGAAGAACGGTTGCAGGAACTGGGTATTACTAGTCTAGAGAAAAGAAGGACTAAGAGTGACATGATAGCTGTATCTACTATTTGAGGGGCTACCACAAAGAAGAGGGGATCAACTTATTTTCCAAAGCACCAGAAGGCAAGACAAGAAACAATGGATGGAATTAAGGAGAACCTTCCTAACAGTGAAAACAATTAGCCAGTGGAACAGCTTGCCTTCAGACTTTGTGGATGCTGCATCACTGATGGTTTTAAAGAAGAGACTGACAATCACTTATCTCAAATTGTACAGGGTCTCCTGCCTGAGCAGGAGGTTGGATAGAAGACTTCCAACTGAATAGATCAGTTCCTAATTTTGTTTGTGTGGCAGGCTTGGGATCCTCAAGGATCCATTTCCTGGCTCTATTAATATTCCTAGTAACAGTTTTACTTGGTTCTTCCATCCATCCATCCATCCATCCATCCATCCATCCATCCATCCATCCATCCATCCATCCATCTATCTATCTTGTATAGTTTGTAATATATATGTATACAGTTTGCAATTTTTTTTATATTTTATGATGCATGTCACCCAGAGTCACTTATTGAGATGGGATGCTCTAAGAAATCAAATAAATAAGTAAAATATGAACCCAGGATCTCAGCAAAGGATCTATTGGGATGTCCCATTTCAGGTATATAATAGATCCCAATTATTATTTCTTTTTTGTACTGCATTCTATTGTTCTCCCATGAGCCAACACTCTGGTTTTTGGCATGCATTATTGCACGGTAAATATTAAACTACTTCATAAAGAATATTAAATCCTATTCTAAACCAAGCTGTCCAAACAAATTAAGTATATTCCTAGCTTCTATGTCACACAAATGTATCCTGTACATCTAAACATAAGGAAAACATTTGTAATGTAGACTGTTACCATCTATGTAGTAAGATCAGATAACTAGGTTCCCACATTTTGTGACAATTAAATTGCTAGTATTGTCATATACATATATACACACAAATATAAGGCTATTGATCTAATTAATGAACTGGGGAGTTAACAGCATCTTATTAGGCAGGGGAAGGAATGACATAAGAGTATTCAAAACCTAATTTGTCACCAACACAAACAATATTTTTTTAACATATCTACACTGATAGTATATCACATTTTTATCACAATGATTATGTGCAAAGAGTGGAATATTGAAGCATTTCTTAAAGGAATATACCCTAAGCTTTTCTCAAACTCCAGTGAAAATTGTTATGCACAAAAAAGGACCATGCTATTTTGCTTTATTATATAGTCACAGCATTCAATTCAACAATTCCAGTACTATAGTTTTAGTTGTAAAATCCACCCATTTTAGTGGTGATAAAAACTAAATAAAAATTATCCCTATATAGTTATAAAATTTTGTTTAGCCATTCTTCCATTCATCTAATCCTTAATAGAAAAATGTGTAATACTTAAAAGGAGCCTAGGCATTATTTCTAGGCTTGGTCTGATAGAAAGGCAGAAAGAAAGAAGGGTTTTCTTATTAAGTGTTATATTTAAAACAATAGCACTTAATAAGAAAACCCTTCTTGCTTTACTGCTCATCTGCCTTTCTATCAGAGTGAAGCTTAAGATTTGGTAACGCCTGGGCTCCTTTTAAGTATTACACATTTTTTTCTATTAAAGATTAGATGAATGGAGAAATTGCTAAACAAAATGTCATAACTATACTGGGATAACTTTTATTTATAAGCAATTACTACAATATAGAAACAATTTAAATTTCTTTTAAGAAAGCAGAAGAGAAGGCATTTTTTGATCCCAGACTATTTATTAATAGTCTATGGGTCCAAATGCATTCACATCAGGAGTATGCCTCAAAATTTGGCAGCCTATCTGCCAACCCTTCTACCCCTTATTCCAAAAAGTCTTTAGCTTTTGGAGCTCAGCAATCTGGAGGTGCCAAATTGGGGGAAACTGCATTATGGCTTGTTCCAGGGGTAGAACTAATCTGAGATTTCCCAAGAGATGAACTTCCCAACTTTTGTATAGCAGTTTATACAGTATTTCTGGAACTACTCAATCTCTTGTTTGGAATAAACACACAGATTAATGATTGTCTCTTCAAAAGCCACTCCCTGTATGTAAGCCTACACGAAACTTTAAAGGCAAATAACAGCTGCATGACGATATCCAAACTGTATTGAGATAGACAGACAGACAGACAGACAGACAGACAGACAGACAGACAGAGACAGATAAATAAATGTTCTCGATTCAAAGTGACCAAAGTTGATATCCAAACTGTATTGAGATGATATAGATAGATAGATAGATAGACAGACAGACAGATAGACTAGATAGATAGATAGACTAGATAGACTAGATAGATAGATAGATAGATAGATAGATAGATAGATAGATAGATAGATAGATAGATAGATAGATAGATAGCTGTTCTCGATTCAACGTGACCAAAGTTTGGAGAAGAGTTGGAGGCTACTCATATCGGCTGCCACAACTAACACAGAGGCAGTAAAACGATTTTCTATCCCTTTCAACTATTCGCTATTGAAGAGGCAGGCATAAACTCTCCCCGCGCCCGCTGAGTCCAATAGAGGGCCCTTCACACACAAAAAAGGGTCATGTCATCACAAGCATTCACTGCATCACAAAGACGCCAGAATCGCACCGTGCGCGACTGTGTTCAGTTTCTGCTTCGGGGGGGAGGGGGGGGAGGAATAGGCGTGAGCCCAACTCGGCGCCTGATGGAACTTCGGAAAACCCCAAACGGGGCGATGTCAAGGTTCTCCCATCCCAGGCGCTGCGGGAACGATGTTGCGACAAAGCTCGTGGGAACCGTATACACGCGGGGTGCGCGGTCAACACGGCCAGCCGCCTAAAAACCGCAAAAGGGACAAGGGCAGAGATAAAAGCGGGGAGGGGGGAACAACCCGCAAAAGTCAAACGAAAGTTACTTTATTTGGGGGGGGGGGAGTTCGAGAAAACAGCTCTGCCCCTCCCCCTCGCTCTTTTTAATCGTGCATAAGCCGAACCGTGCAAGAGAAGCTCCTGCGCTTGCAAAGACAAGGGGACAGAGGGCTCAACGGGGATGGGCGGGGGGGGGGGAGAAGAGGCAACAAAATCACGCCAGGGAAGGCAATAGATTCCCCGCCTCTCCCAACGACCGGCTGGAAGAATAACCCGTACGCTCAATCAAGAGGTCATCTCCGGAAAGAAGCCTAGGCGCGCCCACCACCCCAAAGCCCTTGGGCGGGAACGAAAAAAAACCCTTACCGAAAAGGGAGAGATTCCCAGACTAGACGAAGGACCGCAGGGCAGCTCAGCCAGAAGCCATAATCGAGCCCTCCCTCGGTCCGTCAGCGAGCCAGCCGAGAGCTGCGGAAATCCCACCTCCGTTCGCGTATAGGCCCAGAGGACCGAGCGGATGGCGTGGATTGGCTTCCTCCGCCCGTCACTCACAAACTGGACGGTGTTTGCGCACGGCTGCTCGCACGTGACGACTACTGGGGAGGGGAAGGGCTGGAGTGAAGCGGCCACCTCCCGAGGGATGCAGGATTGGCAAGGAGAGGAAAAAGGTGAGGATAAATGAAAAGTGGGCAGGCGATTAGGGTTAATTGAGGGTGTCTTGGAATTTGTTGTTTCCTCTGTGTCAGAATTTAATTTTGGAGTACAATGCTAATGAACGTGATTTTTTTTCTATTGAAGGCAATTGGACATAGAGCTAAGTATAGTTTAATCCTAATTTACCGAGTAAAATATAATTGGTAGAATTCATGCAACATGTTAAACTATAAGCTGAAGTTGAAAAGCAAGATTAATGAGTCTGCTGGCTGTGCTTCCACAGCATGCACACCTATGATTGAAACATGTTTCATTTGGTTAAGATACTTAACTATAAACAAACCAGAGGCTGGTTTTGGACAGCATAACAAGTCAGCAGAGAATCAGTTCACACATCAGACTAAGATATACTTGGTTTTATTAAAAAAATAAAATGACATAAATAATTAAGTAATAAGTCATCTTTATTAAATAGACTATAATTAGCTGCATTCAAACATTAAAAAAAATATCCATATTAGATTATGAACTGAATGCATTTGTATTGCACTAAATCATAGCAAGAATTCTGCATATGGTATAATATACTCCCAGCCAATATACTATAATGGTGTCATATAATGTTCTGTATTAGTAAACATCTTAAGAATTTTAACAGTATGCCTTGAACATATAGGGATTATTATTTTCATCTTCAATATTAAGAATTCCCCTTCCCAGCATATCAAAGAATATAGAGTCATGCTTTGATATGAGAAAGAATGGTATGGATTATAGACATTTTGAAGAAAGTAAGCCTAATTAAAAGAAGGATTTAACTAATAAGGAATACATGTTGAAGATGTCCTTTCCAAATTTCATCCTTTTCAAATCTCATACATAGAGATTAATATTAAAGTATTAAACAATTCCTTCATTTTGTCACAAACTGGGAATTGAAATGCTACAAGTTTTATAGAGCATCAGGTCAGGGCATTGGAGATAATGAAGTTCAGTTAGTGATTAAAATAAAATATACCTTAAGGGAGGAGATCAATATTATGCAATTTTAGTATAAAATAGAGAGTCATTATTTTGTGAATAATTAATTTTCTATTGAATTAGGAGTTCTCTAAATAACATTTAATGTTGTCTGTGCAATTATTTGTATACAGTATTTAATTCAGTTCTGTGACATACTTTTAATGCAAATACCTCATTCAGATTATCAAAACAACAACACAATCAAAATGCACACGTGCTAAAGCCATTACAAATTGTACAACAACCTGATATTCCTGTTAGGAAGTATAAGAACAATCGGTTAATTGCTAGTCTCAGCCATGAAAGGCGTTACTTACCTTTTAAAAAATTTGGAGCGCAGATCCCATAGGACACACTATTGCTCAAAATATGCGTATGTTAATGTCAATTATTAGACTGAATGTCTATGGAGATTCTCAATCATCCAGGCAATGGTTGTCCCAAAGGTGCTTTTTCAAGAGGCAATTGGACTTCCTGATTTTTCAAGATGTTTGGCTTCTGAAGAATCTTCTTGGATAAGAAGTGAAACGTCTTTAAAAAAAAACCCAGAAAGTCCAGTTGCCTCTTGAAAAAGCACCTTTGGGTCAGTTAGACTGACTTAAATGTATTTAACGTCACAGAAAGCAAGCAAACTAATTCATTTCCTATCATGAGATAACAACATGATTACTTGTTCTATTTAAATCTGCCCTGTAAAAGGAAGTAACCTACCATCTATTTTCTTACTTCTGTTAATTGTAAACTAGCTTTATTGGGGGGGGCGGGGATGGCTGTTGAAAATAAATATTTTTTGTCAAGCGGTAGCCAAAGAAATATTGGACTGCCTACATATTTTTTCCTATCTTAATGGCAGATTAAAGTTCAAGTTGTATGATATCTTTACAGAGGAATAATGGTGTCAGCCAGCCACATGCTGGCTTATACACAAAGCTACAACAAGGAGTTTATTTTTATAAATAAACTGGAGTTGCAAGAAGTGGGATTTTTTAAAAATTCTTAATATTGCAGCTTTATGCTTGAATCATTTTTTTGGGCTAGCAAAAGGATGAAACAGGAAATGCACAAAAAATAGCATTGCAAGACGTTCTTTGTTCTTGTTTTCTTTGTACTTCTCTTTCAGCAACCAGTGGATGCAAATTCTTAATGTTGTTTTGGCTTCTTGTGGAGGCAAATCAAAAGATCAACAAAGGAATGATTTGTAACTAATTCTAACAATACACATTTCAGTATTTAAAGTCTTACATTTAAGTCTGCAGATAATTATAATTAGAAATAAGGTGGTTGGGAGGGGAGAAATAACCAAACAAGTTTGCTTTATGTCCTTCTGGGTTCAACTCCCAAGTGGGGAAAAAGACATTGGAAACATGGAGGCTGCTTGGAAAGATGGTTTAATGGTGGACAGGATCACATGGCTTGAGCTCCTGAACAGAAAAAGGTGATCACATGCTTCAAGATGTTGGGTGAAGAAGAAAAGAGACAAAAGAAGGGCTGAAAGTTCCTGGCTTTGTATTCTCTGTTCAGCCCCACCTCTCTGTTTCCTGTTCCTGTGTAAGAGATGTATTCGGGTCAATATTAAAAGTTGTGGGGGAAATGACATTGCCATAGGTCTATACTACAGGCCACCCAACCAAGCAGAGGAAGTAGATGGACTTTTGCTAGTCAGCTA